TTGCCTTGGTACGAGATAAAATAGCTCATTACGTTTGTCAAGTTCCAATTACGAGCCTCTATCAGACCGTGGATTAAGCGAGTATTGGAGTTAGAGATGGAAATAGATGGAGATTCGAAAAGGACTACACACGTTAGGGACCCTTAGAAAGTATATTATGATTGTATATATGTGACAAGCCTACGTGATCGAGGACAGTCAATAATTAGTGGGATTTGTAGACAACCCGACAACCCTTACTAGTTAGGATACAGAATCTAACCTGCTTCCATAAGGACTTAATCAAATACTTTTGGTAGATGACCAGTTTACACAGTCGTTTGTGAGGGAGGGCGGGCCGGGTGTACGTCCAGGGTCCACAAGAAATAGGGGCTAGTTAAAAAAAATTAATAAATAAAACAGACAAATGTTTTTAGTATATAATATGATCCAAAAAGAATTTAACATTATATTAAGGTCCCAAACATATATTAATTAATTATATTGGAGAAGAAAATATGTTAAATAATTAAGTTGTTTATTTTAGAGTATTGTTTATTGTTTCTCTAAGTTTTTTTATCTACTATTAAAATCTAAAACTATCTTGCCTAGAAAATATTGATATATTCTCCATTGTTCATTTTCCACTGACTCTTTTGATAATTCTATGCGTATGAATTCTATTTTTGTATTAGAATGTAATATATTTCTTGTTATTAACTGAGAAAACTCTTATCTTTTGAAAAAAATTATCAGCCGTGTGAGACGATCTAATTTGTATATATATTTAGGATTTCAAAACTACTATTGTCTTTTCATACATTATTGACTCGTAATATTGAGTACATAAATCTTAAGTACTCTCTTATTTTTAAAATAACAATAAAAACTCAAACTATAACCAATATGAACTTCTGATTCTAAAATTGATGGTTTCATAAAAAAATGTTTTATCCCTAAAAGTTTGAAATGGTGATGAAAAAATTAACATGATGTGATATCGAAACCCAACTGATTTATATTGATTTACATAAAGTGTTATGTGAAAATGATATGACAAATAATATTGATTTAAAAGTAATTATTGATTGATTTCCTGTCTAGGAATAACTGGAAAAACAACTTTATATGAATTATTAGTATTTATTGAATTTAATGTCATTTCTGATAATAAAAACAATATATTAAAATTTTTACATCTCACCCAGGGTTTATAAAATGTTAGAAACGAACCCATGTGTTTGAGAATAGTAAAATTTACTCAAATTCAGTTGTGTATATGTCCCTTATTGAAAACCAGTACAAAATTTTAAAAATAAACCAAACAACTCCTTAATCTGTATTTCAAAAAGAAAATATAATTTGTTTTGAATTATTTTCTCATAAAATGTAATTTTTTTAAATATATTTTTAATTTTCTTACAACCAAACTATTTAAAATTGCCTATTCTAATAAAAGAGTTTAATCTTTTTAAACTAGATAAACACGATTAAGGGTATAAATGAGTCGAAGTTTTTACCAACTATTTGAGCTCGAACTCGTTGAGTCGATCGCGAACACAAAATATCATATTCATTTAACTTAACAAGCCAAGATTCATAACATACATGTTCGACTCGGCTCGTTCGAGAACTCGATTAAAATTTTAAAGTTGAGTCAAACCGAGCTGAACCATTCGAACATACATTTTTTTTTTAGCCAAACATGCTCATATGTCCATAAATTGTACAATAAATATTCAACCCCGATTGTATTAATGAGTTAATTGATTGCGAGTTCAAGCCCATAAACGAGCATCGACCTCGAGTTCGATAACTAAAAAGATATCCGAACTCGAGCCTTACATTGAAAAAGTTATTCAAGCTTAAGCTCGAGCCTAATATTATTTTCTCAAATGAGCTCGAATACATACTACTCGGCTCATTTACACCCCTGAATAGGATTAGGAATGGTAACGGGCCGGGTATTGGTATCCCCGTCCCCTAAACCGATAGCTAAAACCGTCCCCGTAACCGTTCCGATCCCCATTGGGGATCTTATCGGGGATCTCCATCGGGTCCCCGCGGTTTCCCCGATCCCCGTTGGGGAACCCGTTAAGGGTAAAAATTCTCTTTTTCATCGTTGGTTATAACCGAACCCGAACCCGAAACCGATATGAAAAAATTACAATATGTTAAGTTTCACAATTAAAAGTAAATTACAATTTTTTTAAAGATCTAAGTTCAAATGTCTCAAACATAATTGAACCAATTACAAACAATGTATTAGATTACAATATAAAACTAAACAAAAATTCGAACATCATACAACTAAAATCATGGTTTTTGACAAATAAACTAGACTTTTCGTGAGCTTTATTTGGGTTGTTGAGGTAAAATGGATAATTTTTTTAAAAATTTTAATTTTACTTTTTTTAAAGATATTATATATATATATATATATATGTATATATATATATATGTAT